TTGAGTTAATGTACAGGTGGTTTCCATTTATTCATCAATTGCTTGAATGTCTTTCTAAACATATTATAATGGCATTTAAAAAAAAATTGAGTTAATGTACAGGTGGTTTCCATTTATTCATCAATTGCTTGAATGTCTTTCTAAACATATTATAATGGCATTTAAAAAAAAATTGAGTTAATGTACAGGTGGTTTCCATTTATTCATCAATTGCTTGAATGTCTTTCTAAACATATTATAATGGCATTTAAAAAAAAAATTGAGTTAATGTACAGGTGACCCACTGGTGCCTAATAAACAGATAAATTATATAGTCTCCTTCCCTGCCTCACCGGTTTCCTCTGATTATTCTATACACACTGTAAGAGGTTTTGCTTGTCCCTTCCATTTTTGAAATAATGATGTGGTTGAACATGTTCATTCTTTGAAGATTGCAGATTGTGCAAGGATGGCTTCTTTTGAGAAGTATGTTGCTTTGCTTCCTACTTTCTTCTTCTGTCAACTCTTTAGAAACTTTGTTGAAATATTAAATGATTGCTGTGTTCAAGTGGGTGGAGTTTAATCCCTAACATTTGACAGTCCCCCCCTAAAACATACTTCAATATTCCCAAACCTGGCATTAATGCTAGTCCATCCAGATCTCATATGCAGATCTTTCTACATTTCAGATTAAGAAGTTTTATGCAACAGCACTCTATATGATATCTGTGACTTTATATCACCTCCACCAAAACTCTTTAAATGTACATGCTTCTATGAGAAAAAACTGCCAACTTTCACTGAATGTTGGGATTATCTGTGATAACTAACATTCCTCCCCTGAAGCATTATCTCTGGGGAGTCCTGATAAATTTACTCACTGTGAGCTGAGAACATACAATCACACCCCTTCTTTTCCTTTTCTCTTCTCTATCCTAACATTTCCATCATATGCAGAGTTAGGAAAGAAATGTATCCATCTTTGCTGATACACTGACAGTAATTGTAGGACTCTCCAAGTCTCTATTGAATCTTCAGGTGAGATCAGTAATGGATATAGTCTGCTGTGGAGAAGCCCTACTTTGATTTAGGTGATTCCAAATCAACAGAGATCTGCTCCCTTTGTGCACACCCCTTTTTCCTCAGGAATATATGTTGTATAATATTCTTTTTTAAACATATATAAAACTCTAATCAAGCCGAAGTAGCTTGTTTAAATGCTTAGAATATAATTTTTTGTTAATTAACTACTTACAAATAAATTTGTTTTATAGGAGAAAGTGTTTAACATAAGCTCTATTTAACACAGCTCAATTGAACAGATTTCAATGTTTTCTTGATGGGGAATAATTGACAATCTTTGCTTTTTCTACCAAAAGCAGTTCTTTATAATTGTAATTAACTGTGGAAACACATTTCCTAGAATTCTCCATTTGTCAGAATTACACATTATAAAATAGATTCTATTTACTATCCCATATATTGACTGCTAAAATTGTGCATGTAAAATTTGCTTTCAAATCCATTGCTCAAATTTCAAGCAAATTACTTTTGGCCATACAGGGAAAAATATCACAGGCTAATGCTAAACTGCATGTTCTTCATGCAGAAAGTCCTAGGTTCAACCCTTGATATTTCCAGAAGGCTGTGTTAAGGAAATTTGCAGCAGGGCAAAAGACAATGAGATTTTATATTAAATTTCAGAACTGGGAGAAGTGTAGCATTGATTCTCTCTCTCTCTCTCTACCTTACTATACCCTCCTCCCTACAGCATACTTGTACAGTTTTTATGCATCATTTGTACACAAGTAAACTTTAAATCAATAGGACAATAAAACAAAGAAGAATTCATAGAAACAATGACAGAAGGAACAACCTAATGAAATGTAGCAATCAAGAGTTGAGCTATTAACAGCAATTACGGACAGGACTAGATATGATTTGCAGGATTTATTGAGATATAGGCGCTTATAAACTCTTAAAAGTCTTGAAGGGTATAAATAAAAAGAATTTAAACAATGTATGCTTGTGATCAGGCAAACAGCAATCTTAATTGACTTAAATCTCTTCAGTGTTGTGGGAAAGATCCAGTAATGTGGAGTCCTTGGTACTCTCTGAGCTTGGTTGTTTGCTTGCAGACATTTCATTACCCAACTAGGTAATATCATCAGTGCTAGTGAGTGTGGGGCTTGCTCCCTGTTTATATATAGTAGCTTGTCCTGCCAGTGTTGGTGGGGGTAGTTCCTTGATTAGGGTATTGTTTTCTGCTTGCTTGGTTGCCTGGTATTAATCCCTGCTTAATCTGGGTGTTGGCTGCTGGAGAGGATGTGTCTTCTGGTCTTTTTGTTTCCTTCTTACTTTTTTTATTGTCTCTTTTGAATGGTGTGTAAATAAGGTTTATTTCTATATGTCTATTGAGGGCTGATTTGTCTGAATGGCAGGCATTGAATGGCAGGCAGGAACTCCCTAGTACTATATAAACAGGGAGCAAACCCCACACCCACTCACACTGATGTTATCTAGTTGGGTAACGAAATGTCTGCCAGCAAACAACCAAGCTCAGAGAGCACCAAGGAGTCCACAGTTCAATTCAGAGCTACATATATTCTCTTCTATTGGAGATCCAGTAATGTTGAGGATGCATTGGAATAACAAAGGAAAAGGAGGGAAATTTAAGGATGGAGGGACAAAATTGGTCCTTTTCTAAAACCTAAGATAGCTATGAGTAAAACAAGAGAAATGAGAAGAGACTTTTCTTCTTAAAGATACAGTAGCGCAAAAGTAACAAAATTAACCAATAAAAAAATATAGGAATATAAAATTTCCATAACAGCTGCAAAGTCAAACTAGACTCTCCTTTTAACATTTGATCCCAATGTTTGTAGACTTTCACTACCAACTTTCAGCAAAGTAAGTGTTGAGGTACAGTAATGACCAAACAACCCTTTTAAACAAAAGGCTTTGGAGTCTATATGTCTTTTTCCATTTGTCTCAATACAATAAAAACACTTTCACTGCGAGATGAAAAAAGGAGAACACAAAGCAAAAAAATTCCTCCCATTAATTATACAACTCTGTTATCACTGCCAAGAATTACAATTAAAGCCATATTTATACTTTTACTACAAGAGATGACACAATATTCAGGAATGATACTGTCCTAGAGGACAAGCCAGCTAGAACTATAATCTGCAATTATGCATTAGCCAAAGGAATATGATTGTGAAGATGCCCCAGGCCAAAGTACCTGATGAAATGCAACTGGTTGAAATTTCATCAGCTGGAACCATTTGTTAACATCTGCAACAACTAAACATATTCATAATCTATTTTGGACTTCAGCAGACTTAATGTCACAGCAAGTGACAATTCTCAAAAACAAAGCAGAGCAAAAACCAGAGGTAAAGATATTGATATCTATATATGCATCTGTATCTATCTCCTTGACTAAAGCAATGTTAAGCAACTTCTTATTGTTGCCAAGAGAATTTTATGGACAAGTCTATGCAGTCACCAAGAGTCAAGCTTCACTCAAAGGAAACTATTTTTATTAAGCCTCAGAATCAAAACAGGGACCTGCTTCGACCTGCTTCTTGGTTGTACTAGTGATTTGCATTATGATGTTTCTTGGCTGCTTTGTATTTTAATTTTTGCAATGCTGTAATTGTTTTTACTTTATTTTAATTCTGTTTGCCATCCAGAGTCACTTGTTGAGATGGGCGGCCATATAAATTGAATGAATGAATGAATGAATGAATGAATGAATGAATGAATGAATGAATGAATGAATGAATGAATGAATGAATGAATGAATGAATGAATGAATGAATGAATGAATGAATGAATGAATGAATGAATGAATGAATGAATGAATGAATGAATGAATGAATGAATGAATGAATGAATGAATGAATGAATGAATGAATGAATGAATGAATGAATGAATGAATGAATGAATGAAATATGCCTGAAATATTATCTAAAGGGAACAAAGGTGAATATAGACCATTTACTAGAATATTTCATGGCATACAATTTTATTCTCATTCTTAACAATGTTTTGCCTTTCTTCCCCAATTTTGATCTTTGATAGTATGAGGCTCTTCTTGAAGTTTCTGATTACTTTTTCTCTCTGTTGCCATAGGAACATGGGACACTGTTATACATCAAGAGGGACTCTCCATCTAGATTACCTATATTGAATAGCAGTAGTTCTTCAGGGTCAAAGGAACTTGCTACCTGATCCTTTTTAATTAGAGATGTCAAGGACTGCACCTGTGCCCTTCAGAGTACAAAATGCATAATCTTTTGCACTGATCAATAGACCCTCCCTATATCATCCTGCTACTCATACAGCACCACTACAAAAAAAGATAGGGCATAAAACTGTCAGAATATTTTTTGCCAATTGATGGCTTTTTAAAGACATTATCAGGACATACTGTATCAATTACAGTTTAAGGCCTTTTCCCTTTCTTATCCCAACTATATGCTATTACCACTGTCTAAATTTACTAAAGGTTATTCAGTTTTAAACAATCTAATTTCTTGTAATTATCATGTATGAACATGCAGTACTTTCTGAGAATGTTCCATGACATTGCATTATAATCATTTTGACCAGAAATCCTGGTCAGTGTAACCTTTGATGTTCTGTAAGCTTTCCCCCTCAGGAAACATCATTATTTTTTACTGATGGTAACATGGTCTATGAACTATACCTTATCACCCTTTTCCTCGGGTTCATCTTCATTAAGAAATTCTCGTTTAGGGTATGGAATCTGGCAGCCAGCAAAAACACTGGAACAGAAGAAGAATACAATGGAATTGCACCACTATGTATTAGCTTGCAATCTTGCATTCATTTAAAAACATATTACAGAACAAATAAACTTTTGGAGTTCCACATCTCTAGAAGAAATGTAAGGAAATGAAAAGCGTTTGCTTCCATTTTAATTACTTGTAGTTACACGTTGGACATATTCAGACAAACTATGGCTAGTGAGTCACTGCCTAATAGTCTTTCTTCCTGAACTAGCCATGGTGATTTCAGTTCTGGTGTTGAATTATTCTGGTCTCCTTATCTTAGGCTATTTCATTGTGCATGTTAAGAGCAGCTCAGAGTTTCATATCCTGTGTGACAATTGGATTTCTTCCAATTAGAATCTGACCCCATGCTTGCAACATGGTACACACTGAATTTGATAGATGGAGCTAATGGTGGGTATGGTGGGGCTGAAAGATCCTGAAGATGTGAGCTCCGTTCCGGCACAGTGCTGCGTCCCCTCCGCTTGCAACCTTCCCTGCCAGCTTCCAATGGGGAAGCCAGCAGAGAAGATTGCAAATGGCAATCACATGATTGCAGAGCGCTTGGCAACTAATGCGAGCTGGTTGCCAAGCACCCAAAATGCAGCCACATGACTGTGGGGGGGGGGGGGGGGGG